CTATTCTATTCTATTCTATTCTATTCTATTCTATTCTATTCTATTCTGTTCTATTCTATTCTTCACTTCACTTCATTTCTCTTCTTTTCTTCTCCTCTCCTCTTCTCTTCACCTCTTCTCTCCCGTCCTCTCCTCTTTTTCTCTTCTCTTCTCTTCTATCCTATTCTATTACTCTCCTCCCCTCCTCTTCTCTTCTATATCCTGTAGAATAGAAGGAATTCTGGGAGTTGAAGTCCCCGAGTCACAAAAGGGCCATCGTTCCCCATCCCTGTCCTAATGCCATTTCAGGCCAGTGGCCAAAACGTTGATCAGGGGAGCATCTGTGGAGCCAGAATACTTTGATGAGGTCACCATCTACTTCAGCGACATTATCGGCTTCACCACCATGTCCGCCCTCTGCGAGCCTATTGAAATTGTGGACCTTCTAAATGACCTCTACACTCTCTTTGACGCTGTCATCGGCCATCATGATGTTTACAAGGTAGGTCCTTGTCTTGCCACTTTTCCTCCAGACCAAAGGAATTTGGGATTGTCTACTTTGGGCTTGTGTTTTCACTTTTTCCATCCAGCCAACAACCTTGAGATTTGTTGGTACCTCTCCTTTGAGTCCAGGTTGAATCCAGCTTAGATGTTGTAGATGTGGACCAAACCATATCAAAAGACAGAACAAGACAGAATAACGTGACGTAAAAAAGATGTTGAGACTCTAGAAAGAGTGCAGAGAAGAGCAACAAAGAGGATTAGGGGACTGGAGGCTAAAACATACGAAGAACGGTTGCTGGAACTGGGTAGGTCTAGTCTGATGAAAAGAAGGACTAGGGGAGACGTGAGAGCAGTCTTCCAATATCTTAGGGGTTGCCCCAAAGAAGAGGAAGGAGTCAAGCTATTCTCCAAAGCCCCTGAAGAGGCAAGAGAAGAAGCAATGGGTGGAAAGTCATCAAGGAGAGAAGCAACCTGGAATTGAGGAGAAACTACCTAACAGTGAGGACAATTATTCAGTGGAACAACTTGCCTCCATAAGTTTTGGGTTCTCCATCACTGGAAGTTCTTAAGAAGACGTTGGATAATCATTTGTCACAAGTGGTGTAGGGTTTCCTGCCTAGGCAGGAGGTTGGACTAGAAGACCTCCAAGGCCCCTTCCAACTCTTGTTATTCTATTCTATTCTATTCTATTCTATTCTATTCTATTCTATTCTA